TCTATGAGCATTGTTTTATTCAATGTCATATCAGACACTTCCAAGCGGAGAGAAGGTTGGGCTATTTTGACATTTATCATATCGGAGACTGCTGTGAAATTATAATATAGACTACACAGAAGATGGCTGGAAGTGAAGGGGACTCAGTATCTCTGAAAAATAGCAGCCTGGAATGTTTTCTTTTAAAAAGAACTCTAAGTGCAGAAGTTTAAGTTAGTATTACCAAGATCATCATATCTAGGCCTAATCTTGAATGCACATTTTTGAAAAAAAAAATCTGTGTAAAGGTTTCATGAAAGAACTTGCCCAGCCTGATTCAGCAGCTCTTCTGGAATGGTTTATTCCCCAGAGTCCAGTTTTCCCACACTCCCAGTCCTCGGAGGGACCTATGGTTCTCCCTTAAATACTATACTCTGGTAGGTCTCTGAGATACAATTCGCAGATCATGCTAATGATTGTTCTTCCCACAGAGAGTAATTTATGAGCAAAACAGGTGGGGCGTTTTGTTTTTATTTTCTCTCTCTATTCACTTTACAACTGAAAGTTAGAAGTTGAACCTACAGAGCCCTTGCAGGAAGGAGAACTTCTACGAACTGAGAGGTCTTAATTGGAAGCCATAGGAGGTAAAGTGTTTTGTGTTACCATGAGGCCCACAGGATGATAGATGTTCAGGATTGTACAGCAAAACAAAACAAACCAGGACAAAACAGAAAATGCCAAATAAACAATGTAAATTTTTAAGACTTAAAACATGGTAGTTAATCCATTTCTTTTATAAAGTCTAAGTGATAATAAGATTCTTATGATTCTTCCTTGTCATTCACCACCACCCCTCTCCCATTCTCTGGTCATGGGGACCTGGGGTGACTACAGAACCCTGAGCAAATGACTCAAATTTTCCATGCCTCAATTTTCTCAACCATACAGCAGAGTTAACAATGCAGTACACATAGCATAGAGTTTAAATGAACGCTAAATTAAAGGATATGTACAAAGCACTTTGAACAGTGCCTGACACATAGTAAGTCCTCACAATTATAAACGGTTTCATCCCTTGCCTCCTTCTTTCCATCCTTGAAACTTTACTGCCAAAATTGGAAGGATCTTGCCTGCAAATAGGGTTTTATAGTTCTTAAAAAGGCCAACATCCTTCCTCTGTTTCCTGGCTAGCTCTCAAACTTGTTCTCTTGTGGGGATGTCCTCTCTCCACTAGGCAGAGAGCTAGAGTCATCATCTCACAGCATATCAACCACATTCTAGCTTGCTATTTCTAAAATTATAAATACTCCTCGCTGCAAGGTTAAGATAGCCTCATTCTGGGCCGGCCCGGTGGCACACTCGGTAGAGTGTGGCGCTTGGGAGCGCAGCGGCGCTCCCGCT